TATATTGTAAATTTTTTTTTCACCTTGATTTTTCCATTTTTGCACTTAGCAATTTCAGCATGGCTTGTGAATTATTAAATTTTGTATATGTATTTATGAGGTTTTTGTTCTGATAAAATAATGTTTAAAACAAATTTTGGAGAATATTTTTCTGTTTGTTTTTCTACTTGAATGAATGTTGTAGGAAAATTTGGTAGCGACACTTAGTAAATCACGTGTTGATACTTGTTGTTTTTATGTGTAAATTAGTACATGAATACTACTGAGTATTTGTGTGGGTACTTTAGGTCACTTTTGGTATAAGGTAACTCCTTATGTTTGGGGTTGCGAGTCAAATTTAATATACATGTGTTGGTATATGTGAGTTTTTGGAGTATTATGTAGGGTTAAGTTGACTCCTTGCACTTTTGTGTTTCTGATATTTTGTATTTTTGATCTAGAGGATGCGTGAACTATGAAACTTTGGTTCTTCTGAAAGCTTAACTTTCTGTGAATACAGAATACACAGTACAACTTCACACACAACACTAGTACACACTTTTGTTTTGAATTTAGATACTTATATTGTAATTGTTTTTCTCTTTTGTATCACCTTTTACTACTTGAAGTTAGTTCTAGATTATTTTTATTTGTTTACTTTTGGGATCAGAATGTCCAGTGTAATGACTTGTTGGATAAACTTTCACTTTTATTTACATGTTTACAATTCAAAATGAACTGGATTTGAGATGATGATTTTTAGGAGTGAGACATTGACATTTTTTTTAGCACTGCGAACTGGCAAGTTTTAGAGTTAAAATTTCTTGAAAATTTTTGATTTCTGTGTTATCGGGTGAGTTATATTTTTATTGACTGACACTTCAGACTGTGTCGGGTTGAAAAATAATGGATAACATTTTGCTCTGATCGTTGGTGATTGCAATGCTGTTTCGCTATTTCATAACACTTTGTGTGACATTTTTATTGGGTACTTGTTGACGTGTGTGTATATATATATGATTATTCGGATAATTTTCTTTGCAGTGATTTATTTGTATTTAATGTTATATTGTGATTTGATATTTATGCTTTACATCTGACCTATTTGCACAACACTTGATTTCATCAAGAAAATTTTTATGCGTTGCTTAAAAATTTTTTCGGGAACGGGTAGGATATGTGGTGTCTATTATTTGAATTATTATTTCGGCAAATTAAATCCCTTATTTTTGTTAAGACGCTTAAATTTTAATTCCTTGTCTAAATTACACGAAATTTTTTTTTCTTATGCACTTTTGAACTCTGGTCAGCTAGCTTTCTTTTAACTTTAAACAACCCCTTTTTTGAATACAACCTTTTTCTTTCCACTTTTACTTTGTATACTCCCCCCTTTCTGGAGAAACGCACGTGCATGTTTGAATCGCCCGTAATTGCTTACTTTACTGTCTCGATTCCCGCTGAGCCTGAGATTGAAAATAGTTTCTGTGGTCTTCCGCTCTTTTGTAGAAAACGATATGAACCTTCTTTTACTACGTGGGCCAATTTCCTGTTTCCGCCATTTTATGACTCTGTGACAATAAGCGTGCAACGGACCTCCCAAATTTTACTATTCTGGCGCGACAGATTGTCTGTGCTGCACAAAGACCCTCGTTTCGAACCCTGAAATTGATTAATTACCCTTTGGGGGTGTTAGGGCAAAAACCAACTCTTCCTTTTCTGTGAAAACCTCAGTCTCCAATCAGAACTGTCAAAGGTTCCCAATTGGCTAATTACAGGTCAAATGGTGCCCACAAAGGGGTTGCTGGACGGTGTGGCGAGTTTTTGAGTACAGTTTGGCGTCTTGGCGCAATTAATTTAATTTTGATTCTATGCCATGCCAATGAAAAAAGCTTGACCTTTGGCTCAGGAAGTGAGCGATGAAGGAAAAGCTTGGCACGGCATCTTATTTTTGTATAAGAGGGAGGGAGAGAGAGAGAGGACGGACTGAGATTGACGGAGTGATTAACAAGATTTTGGAAGAAGATGATGACTTGATATTTTTCTTTTTGGAGCCGAAGAAAATTGGCGTTCTGGCTATGATCTCGGTGTAAAGTTTGAACTCTGATGCTCGACGAGTGTAAGGACAGCCATTAGCGGTATTAAAACAGAGGGTGCTAAGCAGAGGCCCTATTAACGCTCTCTAAAATTTCTCCTGAATGTCTACGGTTGTTTAATCTGTTTGCACACATTCGAAGCTACAGTTTTGAATAAGGTGAATCCGTAAGTGCGGCCATGGCTGGCCCTTTTACCAAGGAGTGCTGGACTGGCTGCCTCCTCTAGGAAAATTGACCGGATAACCATCCTTACCTGATTTAGAGTGTCAAGAGCGAGTAACCTGGAGCCCTGCTACTGAAGTGCCTGCTGACGTCTCCATGCAAGCCTGTTGAAACCACCTGCAGATGGGAGCTGACTGCCACAAGGTCTAGTGCTATGAATACCAGCTAGGAGGGAGTGCAATTTCCACAACAAGGCGTCATGAAATGCTTCAGAATAGATCCGAGACTCGCCTAGCCTGCCAGCTCTTTTTGTGCCACTGCCCCAGACCCCCAGCCCAACTGTCTACAAATAATGATGTCAGATAAGTTTGTTTTTTGTTTTGGAATTGAAAATTTTAATTTAGAAATTTTAAAATTTGTAAGCTCAAAGCTACAAAAATTTAACTTTCGGATCTGTAAATTTAATTTTTTTTATGTGATGTGCAGACGGTTCATTGAAGTATGATTTTGTTAAATGTAGGAAGATTTAATTTCGGTTATTTATATGCTATGTGAGCTATCCATGTCACTAAATACAGGAAGTTACTTTTGTGAGGAGATATTTAAAAATTTTGTAATACTGGTGTGAACTTGCTATGCAGGAACAATATTCTAATATTGTGTGTTTAATTTTAATTGACAACCTTTTCAAATATCTGCATGCTAGTTACATGATTGCAGAATCTGTGCAAGACAAATATTGTTAGATTACCAGCATTGACTAGAGATATTAGGATTTTTATTCATTTGATTAGTTTGAAGACATGATGCTGATACGAATTCCAAGTAACCTGTCATGTGTTTTTTTTATCCAACAAATATGTGTGTTTTTTTAATCCAGAGCAACACTATTCGTGCTCGGTTCATGACATGTAAATCCCCGCAAATTGCCTTCATATTTATAGAATTCTAAAATAAACAACAATTAATTTTTATTACAGTTTCTGTCATTTGTTCATGTTTGTAATTTATTCTGCACTGTATCCTAACAGGTCATCCAGGTCTGATGCTACTTATTAAATCATGTCTGTGTAATGTTTACCTGGGGTTGTTGATCAAATATTTTGAACACAACGCAGTTTACGATAATTACTTGGCTATGGTTTTCATACGATCATTTATTTAGATCTTGGTTGATAATCACTTATCTGAAAACTATAATTAAATGTAATAAAGCTAATTTAAAGATAAATTTACACGACAAGAGTTACATTACCCCAGATTCCCAACGAATTGCTTTAATTTCTACTATACAAACCATCAGTTCCAAGTTTTCGAAATAGACCCACAGAAAAACATTTTTTGAAAATTTCTGAATAATCAAAAGACGCCGGGACATAAGCACATTAGATGCGAATATGGACCGAGTAACAACTCAAATTTATGGACATTTAGATATCTTTTAAATCTATGTTGAGCAACCTGCGTTTTACCGAGAATTCTAATTTTTTAATTTCCAAAATTTTGTACCTTATATCCTCCAAAATTTTTGCCTTCCTGAATTTCTATTTTTGAATTTTCAAAAATTTTTACCTTTTAAGTGTCCAAACATTTTTAACCTTTAAAAGAAAACGGTTTGATGGACACGGAAAAATAGCCAATAGTCAAGCCAGTAGGAAGGCGTTTGACCCACTACGTATGATTTAATGAGCAGCAGGCCCACATTCGCGACGGATCTACAGAGGAATCGGGTTTCGAGCCTGGAGCCCTCTGGCCCTGAAGCCGAGACCTTACCACTAGGCCACAGCAGCCCCCTTTTGCTACAAGCACAAGCTTGGCTCGAGTCTCAATTATGAGGGTTGTAAAACCTGTGTCCATTACATATGGAACTGTACAGAAGACAAACCACGTTATTATTTATTAGAAGAAAGCACGAATAGTACTTTCCAAATACACATTTTATAATTTTTAATAGACGATGGCATTTTAAAAACTGAAGTTTTCACCCCATAAAATTGCATTTTATTATCTTAAAACTATTCCTCCAGATTAAACTTTCAAACAAAATGACAACAGCCTAGTACAATTCAAGCGAATAGCACGGGGAAATCTATGAAGTGTACCATTACGCCTAATTAAAATGGTCCTGATATGATATCATTGAGTGATTGATATAGTTAAATATAAACTATTTTAATGGATATTCTTTATACAGGGGTGAAAACAGCAAAGATACAAAAAAGAGGAAAATTCGTGAGAGTAGCTACATTTTTACGTGAATAGCGACATACATTAAGGAAGAGAAGTAAACACTTATTGAAAATGAATGATTTACTCATCACAAAATTATGAAACAAATATGGTTCACAGCCATGTATGAATTTTTTTCAATAACAAAATACTTATTTTGACATTATAAATCAATGTTTTACTTTCTTAAAATAGATGCAATTAATAAATAATGTTTTATAATATCAATTTTATAAAATACATATAATAAACCAAATATATAAATTAGATTTTACTTTATAAAAGAAAAAGGCACAAAAAGTCCTGCATAATTATCAGTTTACAAATGTACAAAAAAGCGGAAAATCGCGGATCCACGGAGGATTTTCACCCCTGTTTATAATAAAAACTCAATATTTAATAGGAGCTACCTCCTTCTGTAGCGCTGATGATTAACTAACGTGGTGCGAATATCACGATTTATTCAAACAATTTTTATAAGAGACAGAACGGTAATAACAGAAAAACTTACATAAATAAACTAAGAAAAAAACAATCTGCGTCGGCCGGGAGTCGAACCCTGGCAACTGCTTGGAAGGCAGCTAACCGTTATACCACCGACGCTCTTTCGCTTCTACTTCTTGTCATTTTCGTAAACAAAAATCAGGTTATTGACGACAGTACCGCCCGATTCATTCAATGGAACAAAAAAACATTAGTGACCCATTTTATTTCTATTTACAGAGAGGAAATTGTCTTCTGTGCGAAGCGTCGGTGGTATAACGGTTAGCATAGCTGCCTTCCAAGCAGTTGACCCGGGTTCGACTCCCGGCCGACGCAGTTCTATTTTTTTTTATCCTCTTTCATTTAAAAAAAATTATATCAGGCATTCTGCATTTATATATTCCTCAACCAAAATCCAGCATGAACATGAGTCTAGGATATTTTAAATCCGAAAAAAAAAAAGATTTTTGGAATTATGTCCGCCTACGAACACCATAACTTAAAAATGTAACAGGCTAGATGGATGAAATTTGACGTACAGTTTTATCATCACAATTGTAGACGTGTTGCAAATTACTGAACAAATCCATCACGGGGCTGACTGTCTATTGGTATTTCTATTCATGCATGAATTTTAGCAGGGGCGGACTGGGTCTGAAAAGAGTGGTTGCCATGAGAAAATGGGGGCCCTATCACATCTACGCTACCATCTCAAATATATTTATTGATATTATTTATTACAAATATAATAAATTAAAATCAATAAGTTAATATAATCTATTCCTAATCTAAAACTCTATTATATATATAGATTACTAAATACAGTATACACGTATTATTGAATGTGATAAATATTAAATATAAATGTAATTTTATGATTAAATATTAAATAATTTTGGTGGTTGTATAGCATACTGTAATTTTGGAACTATATTGTTACATTGAGAATATTTTAACAAAATTGAAAATAAAGTGCAAACTATTTACCAATTTAAAATTTTTTAAAAAGAATAATTATAACTTCCAAGGATTAACTATACAAATGTACAGAAGTGTATTACATTTGACCCACTTCATTAATGGCAACTCAGGAAACATCTGAGTTCACTAGATGACTGTGCAAATCTGTAAATGAGTACTCTATATCCAAATCATCTAGAAATTCCTTTTCATAGCAACGTACAGGAATTCCAAGTTGAATTTCTTAATATGGTCTTTATGATCTTTAGTGGACACATATCCTGGGGGCCCGAATTGTCTTATGTATAAGGGGGCCCACTTGCCATCGGGCAAGCTGGCAACCTGGCCAGTCCGCCACTGGTGATATTCGCACCACGTTAGTTAATCATCAGCGCTACAGAAGGAGGTAGCTCCTTTTAAATATTGAGTTTTTATTAAAAAGAATATCCATTAAAATAGTTTATATTTAACTATATCAATCACTTTTAAATTCAATGATATCATATCCAGGACCATTTAATTAGGCGTAATGGTACACTTCATAGATTTCCCCGTGCTATTCGCTTGAATTGTACTAGGCTGTTGTCATTTTGTTTGAAAGTTTAATCTGGAGGAATAGTTTTAAGATAATGAAATGCAATTTTATGGGGTGAAAACTTCAGTTTTTAAAATGCCATCGTCTATTAAAAATTATAAAATGTG